TCAATCAATCCCGCCCCAGCCAGCAGGCACAAATACGCAGCGTCGATGTGCACAGCCACAGACGCGTTCCTCGCGGGCCGCTTTTTCCCGCGACCTTTGAAAATATAATGTGAGAATGTCGTGCGATAGCGCCCTGGCTCAAAGGATGTTAGGAAAATTACACAACTAGAAATTTTTTATTTGTCTAATCGGGCCACTAGCCAAACGAATAACTTGTCCGACATAGACTTTCACTTGTCTTGAGCCTCATATCATAGCGCTTCGCAATCCGCTATGAATAAAAAACAGCTCACAATAACCAGCCTATTTCATCAGATTCCTTCTAACTAAGACTGAATCAGAACACACTAAATGCCCTTATGATGGTGTCCGTGGAAGGCCCATCAGCTCAGGACTTCCCCTTCCATGAGGCAGCAGATGCCGGGGCAGCAATTAGTAAAAGGAAACTGGGAATTTAAAGCCTTTATTGATTTTCTACTCAGTAACGGTGCTCAATCCGAATAAAATATAGCGAAATATAGTTTCACCTTATAGTATATTTATTTGCATTTTTCACACATTGCTTTATAACATTTGACTGGTTACATTCACACTAGTATACAAATTGAACAATGAAAAATGGCTCATCACTCATGACTCTTGACTCAATCCAAATTATTTTGAAATATAGGTAATAAATTTTGTAAAAAAAATGCTCCAAAATAAGGTTCAGATTGCACCAGAGACCATCTAAAACCCCTGAGCTTCCCCTGGCCCCCGGCCCCAAGTGACTTCGCGCTCCACGTTTGTGATGTGCGCGATTTATATTAATATCTAAGGTACTCTAAAGTTCCCAGTTTTACATGTTTGAATTTTACGTTGTGGACCACCCTGTATATAGCATTGGTATATATATTATATTCGTCATTTCTGAGAACACTAAAATTCTAAACAGTCTGAATAGAGGTCTGTCTCGTTTAATATTAGGCCATATTAACTTTGCCCCAACCACTGCAGCAGGGGTAGAAATTAACTTTTGAACACGGGAGTCCAACGGACTCCCTACCCTCAAAAAGAGGGAGTCCGCAGCAAAATGAGGGAGTCTGCAGTCTGAGGTTTAAAATTAAAGATATTAACAATAACCCATTTTTAAGATTCATGCGGTTGCACGTCTGCCAAATTTTCTTTGGACATTAGCTGGAAAATACGGTAATTCTGCGAGGCCGTGCTCTGGAACGATCTAGTTAGTATAGCCGAATTTTCAGGGAGTCCTGCATATATGTCAAATCAGGGAGTCCGGCAGTAAATCAGGGAGTATTTGACTCCGGACTCGCGTTAATTTCGCACCCTGCACTTACTACATGGATGACCACTGTACTATGCTATGTGCATTATTAGTGCACTACTTGTGTCATCACATCGTTTGTCGCTCGGCCGTGGCATGCGCATTAATCGGTCGTGTGTTTCTGCGTTGCAGAGGTGGTCGAGGAGGTAGTGAGGAGCGTGAGGAAGAAGGGAGAGTGGAAGACCATGGTCGTGGACCAGCTGAGCATGCGTATCGTCTCGTCATGCTGCAAGATGCATGACCTCGCTAACGAATGTCTTAATGATGAACATTACTAAAAATACAGCTAACATTATTATTAATATTTATTATAATTATTTATCTACATTAAGATAGTACTTTTTTGATGTAATATACATAGTTTGAGTTTGGTAGCACCATTCTTAAGGCCCGTCTCCACACACGCGGCGCGGCACGGAACGCCACGGAAACGGCGCCGTTCACCCCTACCGGCAAAGTTCAAATCTGTTAAGTGTTACATCTTATGGCGCAGTCTCCACTGACACGGCACGGTGCTAGCCCGGTTTTACGGCGATGGCAAAAGTCAAATGAGTTTGACTTGCCGGAGCCGTGTGCTGCGAAAGACAGTTGAACCAATCAACGCGATTGATTTTTATCACGTGTTCTACTCAAACCACCATCAGCCAATGGACAACAAGTACATGTGCATAATTTCTGATCACTGAACCAGAGTGAACACAATGCGCTCAGACACAATGCGCGAAATCACAATGCATTTTTTTTCATCACAACTGGCGCTGCGTTTTGCTGTGTCGTGCCGTGCCGTGTGTGGAGACATATTTTTACTGGGCTTGGCCAGACTAGCTAGAGCAAGAGGCTGTAGTAATTCACTGGTTTATATATATGTTGCACTTGCGTACATTGTTCTGAGAACACTAAATAGGGATATGTGATTTTCCATGTGTTTCTCCATGAAAGAGACTTTCTTTAGAACATGTGTTTGTAAATGAATGACATGCAATAAAGATTTAATAATAATAATATTTATTTTTTCAATTACATCACAAATAATGATGGCAAATACTAGCATTCAAGCCCACCACCTCGAAAATTGTTAATTGTATTTATTTTTATATTATATAGCAGTGTGGTCCACGAGGGGTTTTAACATGTAAGGCCAACAGATTTGAGTTTTGGGCCGATAGGTTTGAAAATTGCCGACAGGTTTGGATTTGAGGGCAACAGGTTTGAAATATCAAAGCAAGAAACAACACAAACAAAGTAAAATGCAACTGTACTGCACTGTCGAACGGGACGATGTACGCGTAGTCACATCGCGCGCTTGTAGCATACCCTATTACAGTCTATTACACTGTTTTACTCTGTGCATGGGCTCCCACTTGTCGGGCAGTCAAATAATACAGTGCGTCTACGTTTTCTGAGCTGCTTGCTCTGATTCATGCACGCATGCCTGTATGCGTGCCTGCGCACGTGCCTGTGTGTGCGTGCGTGTGCACGTGCCTGTGTGCGTGTGCACCTGCGGGCGTGCCTACGTAGACCCGTAGGATTATAGAACGGTAATCCATGGAAAATCGTAATGAAATTCACACGTTTATTTTTGTGTGCCGGCACACTCGTGTGTCATTCCCGGATTGTAGCCTTTTCCCTCAATTCCGGAAAGAGTTTTTGGCCTATCGTCTCGCTCATAGCCCAGCCGGTGCCCCCTTACATTTTAGTTAGTGATTAGCACCAACGCGACTGACACAAATGTTCCCCTCCCTCGTAATCTTAAAATCAAATGCCCGGCCCCCAGCCAGCAGGCACGTATACGCAGCGTGATGTGCAGCAGCCACAGACGCGTTCCTCGCGGGCCCGCTTTTTTCCGCTTCGCCGAAGACGCGAGGACCTTTGAAAAAAATAAATGTGAGAATGTCCGTGCGATGCGCCATGGCTCAAAGGATGTTAGGAAAATTACACAACTAGAATTTTTTATTTGTCGCAATCGGCAACTAGCCAAACGAATAACTTTGTCGACATGGACTTTCACCTTGTCTTGAGCCTACATATCATAGCGCTTCGCAAGTCCGCTAATGAATAAAAAACACTGCAGCAATAACCAGGCCTATTTCATCAGATTCCTTGCTAACTAAGACTAGAATCAGAAAACACACTAAATGCCCGTAAATGATGGTGTCCGTGGAAGTCCCTCCGTCAAAGGAACTTCCCCGCTTATGAGGCAGCAGAATGCTCGGGGCCGCAATTAGGAAAAGGAAACTTGGGATTTAAAGCCTTTATTACGATACTGAATTTTCTACTCATAACGGTGCTCAATCCGAATAAAATATAGCGAAATATAGTTTCACCTTGTAAGTTATAATTTATTTGCATTTTTCACAAACACGCGCTTTATAACTTTGACTGGTCTTACATTCACACTAGTATACAAAATTGAACAACAATGAAAAAATTATCATCACTCATGACTCTTGAACTCAAAACCCAAATTATTTTGAATATAGTAAATAAATTTTGTAAAAAAAATGCTCCAAAATAAGGTTAATATTGCACCAGAGAGCGATCTTAAAACCCCCTTGAGCTTCCCTGGCCCCGCGGCTAAACAAGTCCTGCCACTTCGCGCTCCACGTTTGTTGATGTGCCGCAGACTTATATTAATATCTAAGGTACTCCTCTAAAAGTTCCCAGTTTTTAGCCATGTTTGATTTTACGTTGTGACCACCCTGTATATAGCAATTGGTATACTATTATATTCGTCCATTTCTGAGAACACTAAAATTCTAAACAATTGCTAAAATTCCTGATCAGAGGTCCTGTCTTCGTTCTAATATTAGGCCACAAGGCCTTTCATTTTTAAGGGGCGGCGAATGCGCGCTCGAGTGGAGGCGTCCAACCGCGCACCATAAATTGGTGCCATGGTGCGCGCATCATCGCGCCTCATAAAAGTGGTTGAAATCGCGCACGCAAAATCTGTGTATTAATGTTGAAATAGCCGGCTCCAATTTTTAGCAGGGATGAAAGAATCTTCCGGCGGATCCGCGGAAATCCCCTCTGATTTCACAGTCCCAGGGTCGATTGTTGAAACGTCTAAATCCGGTTGAGAGAAAATTTTAGGGGGGTTAGAATTGTACAAAAAATTTTCATTTTACAGTCCAACAGCCTAACTAACCAGATGCCTTCATTTAATACCATTCTAAAATAGTTTGCTTTTACAATATAGACACGGACTTAGTCACTGTTTGGATTGTCAGACGTTGCGCAGTGTGTGCCGTTTATTTGACGCTGCAAGTGTGTGTGTGTTGTGTAGCCGCCGTAGCTACGGCCAGGCAGTATATATAGTACGGCAGATCGATCGATCCGTTGTACATCAAAAGCCGCCGCGATCACGCGTGCCTTTTAGGCTAAGTTTCCCCTGTCCATAGAGTTGGCAATGGATCGCGAGCCCTGACTTGGAGTATCTATTCTAGCCCAACTCTGTTTCAGTAGGCCAATGAGAATGCAGCTTTCATAGCACGCCTTCGTCGTATCTTAAAACAAATGGCAGACCTTTTAAATAAGGGTGTGATTTTAGTGGAGCTCGTTCCATCATGCCTCTAAGGGTGTGATTTTTTAATGGAGGCTCTCCATCATGTCCTCTTAAGGGTGTGATATGGAGCGTGAAAAGTCCCCCTATGGTGTTCTAGGGGAGTCATTAGAGCCCTCCTGTACTTATTAAACCTGAAGGCCTGAGGCCAAATATTTAACTTGCCCGCAACCGACTGCAGCAGAGGTAGAATTAACTTTTGAACACGGGAGTCCGCAACGGACTCCCATACCCTCAAAAAGAAGGAGTCCGCAGCAAAATGCAGGGAGGTCTGCAGTCTGAGGTTTTCAAAAACTAAAGATATTAACAAAACGGCATCGTGCTTATTTTTTGAAGATTCATGTGGTTGCCGCTGCCAAATTGCTTGACATTTGCTGAAAAAATACGGCAAATTCCGCTAGGGCCATGCTCTGGAAACGAAACTAGTTTAGTATAACAGAAAGTTTTCAGGGAGTTCAGCACGGACTCCTGCATATGTCAAATCAGGGGGGAGTCGCAGTAAATCAGGAGTTTTGACTCCGGATCGCAGTTAATTTCGCACCCTGCACTTACTTACATGGAGGAACGCACTGTACTATGCTATGATGCACTTATTAGTGCACTTACACTTGTTGTCCATTCACAGCGTTTGTCCGCTCGCCGTGACATCGCATTACACGGTGTAGTGTTTCCGAGTTGCAGAGGTGGTCGAGGAGGTCGTGAGACGTGGAGCGAAGAGGGAGAGTGGAAGACCCATGGTCGTGCGACGCAAGCTGAGCATGGCGTATCGTCTCGTCATGCTGCAAGATGCATGACCTCGCTAAACGAAGGCATCACCAGTGAGTAGCTAGTTTACGTTACTCGCAAAGAAGGCATCACCAGTGAGTAAGCTAGTCCGCAGTTACCCTCGCTAAACGAATGCTTAACCAAGTGAGTAGTAGCTAGTCCGCGTTACCCTCGCTAACGAATGCTGTACCAGTGAGTAGCTAGCTAGTCCGCGTTACTTGCTAACTGCGTGCGAGGGTGCTGCTAGTGCGTTCTCGCTAACGAATGCTGTACCAGTGAGTAGCTCTAGCTATCCGCGTTACCCCGGGCTCGCTACGAATGGCTGTACCAGTGAGTAGCTATCTAAGTCCGCGTTACGTTGCTAACTGAAGTGCTGTACCAGTGAGTAGCTAGCTAAGTCCGGCGTTACTCGCTAAACGAATGCTGTAAGCCAGTGAGAGGCTAGCGTAGCCGGACGTTACCATCGCTAACCGGAATGCGTCACCAGTGAGTAGCTAGCTAGTCCGGCGTTAAAAAAAACACCCTCGCTAACGAATGCTGTACCAGTGAGTAGCTAGTACGCGCGTTACTCTTGCTTAACGAATGCTTGTACCCAGTGAGTAGCTAGCTAGCCGCGTACCTCGCTAACGAATGCTGTAGCTAGTGAGTAAGCTAGTCCGCGTTTTAAAACCTTGCTAACGAATGCTGTACAGTGAGTAAGCTAGCTATCCGCGTTACCTCGCTAACGAATGCTGTACAGTGATAGCTATCAGTCCGCGTTTAACCTTCGACCTAACAAGCGGATGCTTACTAGTGAGTAGCTAGTCCTGGCGTTACCTCGCTAACGAATCGCGTACCAGTGAGTAGGCTAGCAGACCGCGTTACCTCGCTACGAATGCTGCTAGGATAGCTCCGGGTAAGATGCTGAAGCTAGTAAGCTAGTTCCGCTGTTACCCGGCTAACGAATGCTGTACCAGTGATACTAGTCCGCGTTAAGCGCTCGCTAACGAATGCTGTACCAGTGAGTAGCTAGTAATCCGCGTTACCTGCGCTAACCGAATGCTGTACCGTGAAGTAGCTAAGCTAGCCGCGTTACCTCGCTAACGAATGCTGTACCAGTGAGTAGCTTAGTTCCGCGTTAACCTCCGCTAACGAAATGCTGTACAGTGATAGCTAGCTAAGCGTCTACCGGTCGCTAACGAAGTGCTCACCAGTGAGTATCTAGTCCGCGGTTACCCTCGCTTTAACGAATGCTGTACCAGTGAGTAGCTACTATCCGCGTTACCTCGCTAAACGTAATGCCTTACCAGTGAAGTAGCTACTAGTGCCGCGTTACTCGCTAACGAATGCTGGCTACCAGTGAGTAGCTAGCTTCCCGCGTTACCGTCGCTAACGAAGCATTACCAGTGATAGCCCTGTCCGCTTCACCTGCGCTAACTGAATGCTGTACCAGTGAGTAACTAGGACCGCGTTACCTCCTAACGAATGCCGTGTACGCAGTGAGTAAGGCTAGTCCGCATTACCTCTCGCTACGAAATGCTGTACCCAGTGAGTAGCCTAGCAGTACCGCGTTACCTCGCTAACGACAATGCTTGTACCAGTGTAGTAGTACGCTAGTCCGCTTACCTCGCTAAACGGAAGGTCACCAGTGATAGCAGCTAGTCCGCGTTACCTCGCTAACGAATGCTGTACCAGTGAGTAGCTAGCTAGTCCGCGTTACCTCGCTAACGAATGCTGTACCAGTGAGTAGCTAGCTAGTCCGCGTTACCTCGCTAACGAATGCTGTTACCAGTGAGTAAGCTAGCTTAGTTCCGCGTTACCCTCGCTAACAGAATGATGTACCAGTGGAGTAGCAGTCGCGTACCTCGCTAACGAATGCTGTACCAGTGAGTAGCTAGCTAGTCCGCGTTACCTCGCTAACGAATGCTGTACCAGTGAGTAGCTAGCTAGTCCGCGTTACCTCGCTAACGCAATGTGTAGCCAGTGAGTAGACTGTCCGCGTTACCTCGTAAACGAATGCTGTACCAAGTTGGAGTAATAGACTAGCTCCGCGTTACCTCGCTACGAATGCTGTACAGTGAGTAGCTAGCTAGTCCGCGTTCCTCCGCCTAACGAATGCATTGTACATCAGTGAGTAGCTAGCTAGTCCGCGTTACCTCGCTAACGAATGCTGTACCAGTGAGTAGCTAGTCCGCGTTACCTCGCTAACGAATGCTGTACCAGTGAGTAGCTAGTCCGCGTTACCTCGCTAACGAATGCTGTATGATCACTACATTTCTTGCTATTGTCGAGTGTTTGTTCACATCGAACAGAATAGAAAAATAGGAAGTATAATGCAGCAATTTAAGCATATAAGAAGTGAACAGAATCGCTTACATTTTGTGAAAAAGTCGACATAATTTGGTTACGTTTACTGTTCAAGGCGACGCGATCACTTTAATAGAGAACCGTTGTTGTTTGACAGTTGTGGAAGACATCAGTAAGAACAGGGAGCCGCTGCCACTCTTGGATTGCATCTACTCATCACGCCCACAGAGAAAGGTGAGATAGGCAGTGTCGTAATGCGCTGCCAAGTGAGAGACTTGTGACACGCGCACACCTTGAAAGGCGTTCTTTTCACCAGGGTGCCGCTAAACGTCGGGCATGCAAACACCGTTTGTGCCGAGGCCACGCAGGTTAATGCAATGAAATCGCCCACACAGTGACACACACACACACACACGCCCCATTCACCCTCCCGCCAACACACACACACACACACACCACACACACACACACACACACACACACCACACACCCCATTCACCCTCCCACCCACGCACGCACGTATGTACGCACACCAACACATGCACGCACGTACGTACGCACACCAACACTGCACGCACGTCGTAGCACCCCACACGTACGCACACCCACACATGCAGTACGTACGCAACAGCCCACACATGCACGCACGTTCACGTAGCGCACACCCGACCCATGCACTGCACAACACGCACGAACGTACGCGCAACAGCCACACATGCTGCACGGCACGCACGCGACACACCCACACATGGCACGCACGCACGCCACACACGTACGCACACCCACACGATGCACGCTTGCAGCCGTACGCCACACCCCGCATGTACGTACACACCCAAGGACATTCCTCGCACGACGCACACACCCACACATGCAATCACGCACGCATGCACGCACGTACGTACGCACACCCACACATGCACGCATGCACGTACGCACGTACGTACACCCACACATGCAATCACGCACGCATGCACGCACGCACGCACGCACACCCACACACGTACGCACACCCACACATGCACGCACGCACACCCACACATGCATGCACGCACGTACGTACGCACACCCACACATGCACACATGCACGCACGCACGCACGACGTACGTACGTACGCCCACCCACACACCCACCCCTAGTAGCCTCTTGTTTCAATATGGCGTGCAGATTCACGACATTTTTTCTGAGGTCGTTGGTGAACATCGCGTTCCGAATCCGGAAGCTATGCATTTCCTTTGCTTTATAGTACAAGCTGAACGTCTATATATGCTGAGAAAATGTTAGAAGAGGCGTATAGGTTGGGCCTTATATCGTGGCTAGAAACAGAGAATGGCAATCACCGGACATCCTCCATTAGTTACAGTCAGGATGACGGTGGCCGGATTTCATCTGTCATCTATTAATTATTATTACGATTAGTGATGGGAATCAGTTGGAATTTCATCATCGATCATCGGTTGCACCCAACCGATCGATGATCGAAGATAATCGGTTGAATGTTATTGATCGCGGCCACCAGATATTGAAATATACCATATATCATATAATATAGTATTTTTTATAATACAATATTCTAAAAGCTATGTAACAGTATTTATACATGCTCATGTTTGGTGTAGGTTAGATTTAAGCTGTAAAGTAACCAAAAAAACACAAAAATAAAATAAAGAGTCATTTCATCAATGTTTGCACATCTTTAAAAAAAAAAATTTCAACTGAATTTTTTTTTTTGATAATTGATTATTTATTTTTAGAATCGTGCGCTTAATCGGTTGCTGCAAACGACTGACTTTCGATTATAATCGATCATCGGGACGTCACTAATCAGGATTGTTTGCGCAGGACATCCGCACCAGACTATCTGTGGTCTAGGAAAACATTCGGCGCTAACCACCGACCGGCGTTCAAGCGTATATTTCTGCTGAAATTGACTTTGTCTCTTCGTTTCAGTCCGTTAAACAACTAATGCAGGATTTCACCGGAACCAACCTGTATCGATCAATTCACTTGTTCTTCACCGAAGGTACGCTCGTGCTGAATTATAGATTGTTGTGCGAGGTGCGATGCGTTGCGATTCGTCTACGTACGATGCTAGTGGTTAATGCTGGGCCAGAATTGCATTAGTATGAACGGTTTGATGTGTGATGGTTTCATTATTATGGGTGTGGCGTGTGTGTTTGCATTTGCGTGCGTGTGTGAGTGCGTGCGTACGTGTGTGCATGCATGCGTGAGTGTGCGTGCGTACGTTCATGCACGCGTGGGTGTGTGTGCGTGTGTGAGTGCATGCGTGCGTGCGTGCGTGCGTGCGTACGTTCATGCACGCGTGAGTGGGTGTGCGTGCGTGCGTGTGCGTGCGTGCGTGCGTGCGTGTGCGTGCGTGCGTGCGTGAGAATGCGTGCGTGCGTGAGAATGCGTGCGTGCGTGCGTGCGTGCGTGTGTGTGAGTGTGCGTGGGTGCGTGAGTCGGACTATCATGCCGCATATGTTTTTCAGCCTGCCCCGACGAACTCTTCAACGACTTATGCAAGTCGCACGTCGGAAAGTACATCAAGACCTTGAAGGAAATCAACATTGCATTCCTGCCCTACGAGTCACAGGTATGTGTTAGGAAGGCTTCGTCATTGCCGCTCCCTGCAGAAGCAGCAACCACGTTGTTCAGAAGGAATATCGGTGAACGGGGGTCGAAATAGGTTTTCGGATTCTGGTTTTGATTCGTCAGGGGCAAGGTAACGGTTGTGTTGGGTTTATACAGGTATTTTCGGGGGCCAGAGGACCCACTACGAATAGGAGGGGCAGACACGTCATGGATTGTCGGTCCATTCGTGAAATTTTAGTCTCAGAGTAGAACTCTCGGGGTAGAAAATCAATCAACAACAGCAGGTTACATGATAGAGCAGTGATCAGGCTCTCCTCTGTTGTTTAGGTGTTTTCGCTCGACTCGCCTGAGACGTTCCAGTTCTTCTACAATCCGGCGCGGCAGGGCGGCCGAATGACCAACATGGAGCGCATTGCTGAGCAGATAGCCACGCTGTGTGCGACGCTCGGCGAATATCCCAACGTCAGATACCGCAGGTGAGTCTATGTGTGTGTGTGCGTGCGCGCGTGCGTGCGTGCGTGCGTGCGTGCGTGCGTGTGTGGTCTATGTGTGTGTGTGCATGTGTGTGTGTGTGTGTGTGCGTGCGTGCGTGTGTGCGTGCGTGCGTGCGTGGTGTATGTATGTGTGCGTGCGTGTGTGTGTGTGCGTGCGTGCGACGCTCGGTGAATATCCCAACATCAGATACCGCAGGTGAGTGTATGTGTGCGTGAATTAAAGCTTATATCGAAACTATCAGAAATGCACAATCTAAAAAAAATATGGCGAAATCTCACAGCGGATATATCACTGATTACAGGATTACACCAATTTTAAAAACTAAGAATTTATGCAGTTATAGCATAGAAAATTGGATTTGAATACATCGTGACATTGTAGCATATATTTGATTATAGCGACAATCAATTTGCAAATGGCGCCTTAGTCAGAATTAATGCACTAATGACTTGTTGTGCACCAACAGGTTACAAGTGCACTGATTCTGCACCTAATTCAAACAAAAGGGCATCTAATTGTGTGTAGTTGACTCTGTTTCTACTTTAAAAATTGGCCGATATCTCGCGCTATCGCAAGATAGTCTGACACTCGCATGAAATGGCGGCGGAAATCGAAACTCGGAGCGTGCATTTTTTTTGAGAATATAGCTAGGTACAAAGGTTCTAAGACTTTTCAACATGACTCTAGCCAGTCGCTATAACTCAAGCAATAACGGTAAGTGTCGTAAAATTGACGAAATCACGAGACTTTGAAAGACACGACACTGGTTGAAAATTATGTTCGGAATGGAAGCTTCGATGCCTGGAGTAGCGTCAGCTCACGTACACGCGCTCGGTCGGACGAACGAACGGCAGGAACGGCGAAGCAATGACATTCAGGTTTCCTAACGCGGGACGAGAAAGCGGCCCAGCAGACAATAGAACGACAGGAAACCTAAACTGGGTTTACACTACTGACTTTATGTTGTCAAATTTGTGAATTGGACTAACTTCCCAACTATGCAACCGACAATCGGCAGTGTAAATGCGAAAGTCGCGCGAGCAACCGATCGATAGCAACTAGTTGGGAGATTAGAACATGTTCTATTTTCTCCAACTCGGAGTTGCCGAATTGCGAAATTGGTCCAATTCGCCAATTCGCCAACATAAAGTCGGGTAGTGTAAACCCCTCGGGTAGTGTGATGCCCCCGAGAACTGGCATTTGGATGCGGAGTAGACGAGATGAGGTGGGAGGGAATTCCCTAAAGGAGGGAAATTTCCCGTCCGATGTTCTCCCGACTCTGACGTTGCCGCGGCAACCGCGTGATTTTGCAGCGATTTCGACCGCAACGTGGAGTTGGCCCAGCTTGTGCAGCAGAAGTTGAATGCCTACAGAGCAGATGATCCAACCATGGGCGAGGTAAGCACAACTCACCCCCTCCCCCCGTGCGCTCCCTCCTCGTGGCGCCCTCGTGTGGACCGTGCCGGATTCGGACCGGAACCCGAAAAACTCCCGCAATCTAGAAGTAGTATTTTTCTGGTCCGGAAAGTCTCGGGGAAAGCCGCTGCGGTTCTTGGAACGTGCTGAAAAAAACGAGCGGTCGTTATTGTTGTTAATATTTTCGGTTTGAGAATGTCCTTAACTTGAGCCTAACGTGTACCTTGTCTAGTAGAGACGATAAGAAGGGGTGATGGGACGTGTGATTTCGTTCAACGATCGGCGACTGTACGATGCACGTCCGGCGAGTGTATTCAGCTGAAATCTCGTGAGGGCGAAAAACTCGCCCAGGGACGAGAATTTTCTAACTTTAGTCGGAATTCCGACCTTTTCTGATGCAAAATTGACCATTTCTGTGAATCGTGTAGATCCATTACGGAAAATTAGGGGGTATGGTTAATATTGCCGCGCCTTCGTCGATCTGTATCCTTCTTATCACTTTCCTTGTTGTCACTTACTATCAGAGAGCTTAAATAGTTTTTTTTTAAACTTAAGTCCGAAGGTTTTGATATCTCGTGCATGAAGAACTTGCTCGAAAAAATGTTCGACGGGGGCGATGGAACGCGCGATTCCGTTCAGCAATCGGCGAATGCACGGCGGGCAATTGTATTCTGCCGAAATCTCGCGAGCGCGGAAAATTTCCCGCTTAAACTCTCGCGCTCGAAAAACGAAAAACTCGCCCGACAAAAATGTCTGCTCGCCTCGTTCGCTTCTCTACCCTGCTCCGCCGCACTGCTCCCGGCTCCGCCTCAGCCTGACGTGTCGTGCTGCGTGCATGCAGGGTATCGACAAAGCTCGCTCGCAGCTGCTCATCCTGGAGCGAGGGTTTGACGCGGTGACGCCGTTGCTGCATGAGCTCACCTTCCAAGCCATGGCTCACGACCTGCTGCCCATAGAGAACGATGTCTACAAGTGAGTAGTGGCGCCATCTATCCGCGCGTCGCGGCGGCGACGGTCGTCGATTGTTTCGGCGGTCGCGTTTCGGCTGTCGTTGTTTTGTTGTTTTGTTTTTCGGCGTGCTGTTGTTGTTGTTGGTGTTGCTGCTGCTGTTGTTTCTGGTGCTGCTGTTGCTGCTGTTGTTGTTGTTGTTGTTGTTGCTATTGTTTCTGTTGTTGCTGCTGCTTCTGTTGTTGTTTTTTCTATTGTTTTTGTTGCTGCTGCTGTTGTTGCTGCTATTTTTGTTGTTGTTGTTGTTGTTGTTGTTGTTGTTGTTGCTATTGTTTCTGCTGCTGCTGCTGTTGTTACTGCTGTTATTGTTGTTGTTGTTGTTGTTGTTGTTGTTGTTGTTGTTGTTGTCGTTGTTTCTATTGTTTATGCTCCTGCTGCTGCTGTTGCTGCTGTTATTGTTGTTGGTGTTGTTGCTATTGTTTTTGTTGCTGCTGCTGTTGTTGCTGCTATTTTTGTTATTGTTGTTGTTGTTGTTGTTGTTGTTGTTGTTGTTGTTGTTGTCACCATGCTAGGTGTACGTGGCGTGTGTACTAACTCGTCGTTGTGTGCTCAGGTATTCGACCTCACAGTCGGTGATGTCTGGGGAAGGTCTGCATGACAAGGAGGTGCTGCTGGATGAGAACGACGATCTGTGGACCGAGCTGCGTCACTGTCACATCGCGGTCGTCTCCCAGTAAGTGTCACGCGTCACTGTCACATCGCGGTCGTCTCCCAGTAAGTGTCACGCGTCACTGTCACATCGCGGTCGTCTCCCAGTAAGTGTCACGCGTCACTGTCACATCTCCGTCGTCTCCCAGTAAGTGTCACGCGTCACTGTCACATCGCCGTCGTTTCCCAGTAAGTGTCACGCGTCACTGTCACATTGCGCACGCACGCACGCACGCACGCACACACACACGCACGCAGCATTGAAGATGCGATGTCAAGAGGACAACGATGATGTGACAGTGATGCGTGGCAGTGACGCGTGACACTTACTGGGAGACGACTACGGCGATGTGACAGTGACGCGTGGCAGTGACGCGTGACACTTACTGGGAGACGACCGCGATGTGACAGTGACACGTGACACTTACTGGGAGACGACCGCAATGTGACAGTGACGCGTGACACTTACTGGGAGACGACCGCGATGTGACACTGACGCGTGGCAGTGACGCGTGGCAGTGGTCAACGCGTGACACTTACTGGGAGACGACGGAGATGTGACAGTGACGCGTGACACTTACTGGGAGACAACGGAGATGTGACAGTGACGTGTGACACTTACTGGGAGACAACGGAGGTGCGTGTGTAGAGACCCTCGCTTACCTTACCCCTCCCTCCCCCCCCCCACTACACTACAGGCAGGTGACGAAGCAACTGAAGAGATTTGCCGACAACAAGCGCATGACGACGAGCGGAGGCACGGAGAAGACGACCATGCGAGACCTTTCCCAGATGCTGAAGAAGATGCCGCAGTACCAGAAGGAGCTCAGCAAGTACTCGACTCACCTCAATCTCGCGGAGGACTGCATGAAGTCCTACCAGAGGGGAGCCGACAAGCTCTGCAGGGTCGAACAGGTACATGCGGCCGCGCGAGCACGCTCTCGCGCGTTCCGGTAGTGTTTTCCGGAGAGTCGCGGAAAAATCCGGAGAGTCGCGGAAAATCTGGAGAGTACCGGAAAAATCCTGAGAGTCGTGGAAAAATCCGGAGCATTCCGGAAAAATACGGAGAGTTCTGGAAAAATCTGGAGAGTTCCGGAAAAATCCGGAGAGTCCCGGAAAAATCCGGAGTGAATCCGTCTGAATTGTTGTGTTTGTTATATGCATGGTGTATCATGTTGTATATGTGTGGTGTATCTGTGGGGGTTGTTGCGCGTGTTGTATATGCGTGTTGTATCTGTGGGCGTTGTTGCGTGTGTTGTATGCGCTCTGTTGCGTGTGTTGTATTGCTGCGTGTTCTATATCTGCGTGTGCGCGCGTGTGTGAATCGGCAGGATCTGGCGATGGGCACCGACTCGGAGGGAGAGAAGATCAAAGATCACATGCGAAACATCGTGCCGATCCTGCTCGACCAGAACGTCAGCTTCAGCGACAAGATCCGCATCATACTACTCTACATCATACAGAAGAACGGTGAGTGTACATGTGTAATTTTGTTGATTACTTTTCCCAGTTCGGTGTGATACGTCGGGAGATGCTCGACTGTATGTAGGCACGTGATCGTAGGTATTGTTATTCTTCTTGCGTTGTGTTATTAACTGTTCTGCTTGTTTCGTGTTTGCGGTGAAGCTTGAAGGAGATGTCAGGTAATGCTCTGTGTTTGATGCAGCGTCGTGGCGGAGGTAACATCAATGATCAAACACAAACCGATGAGTGAAGTTTTCCACGCATGTTAATTTTATTGCCAGTCACAGTACAATCCTGGGCAAGAGTCCAGATAAGGGTGTTACCAATATATATACTTCTTCCCGTCCGTCCGTCCATCCATCTGTCAGTCTCTGAGTCTGTCAGTCAGTCTTTTTGTCCGTCTGTCATTTCTTTCAACCTCGTCGATATGCATGCGTGCACAGAGAGAGAATGACACAGCCAACGACCAACCCTTTCCTCTTCCGAGGTGTGTCGTATATATACAACTGCTAGGTGACGTCATCTTATTTCCTGCATGTGCAAGACCATTCAGTCTGCACGTGCTTAAGCTGTCACCAAGGTGTCGGGTTAACCGTATAATATTGAAATGGAATTTTACCAATCACGTTCTACTCGCGTGTAGATTTCACATGCGTACTTCCTGTATTCTAAGAGCTTCCACCCCGGTGTTCTTCCCAACTAACGTCCGAAATGTTATCCGGAGTGTTGGCTCATTATAGTTTACTAATGATAGTTTTCTGTAATTACCTACTCTACATATCAACGGAGCTCTGTGACACCACTCCCACGGCAAATTACTTTCGTGCCTTGATGGCACAAAGTGTAGTTCTAAAACACAGCAAACATATAAACATACAACATTTAACATGAACGATTAACGAACATTTCACCATAACTAATTAACGCACATCAAACAATTTTTTTCTTTATGACATACTTGCCTAACATGAACCGACTGCGTGTAACAGTAAGAAAAAAACAATCGATCCATATTAGGGTGTATGAAACTCCTTTTAGTTGCCTTGTACGACTTGCAGAAAATGCAGTAGACGTATTCTGTTCGCCGGGTCTACACACAGTCGGGCATCTCCCGACGTATCACACTGAGCTGGGAAAAGTAATCAACAAAATTGCATTGGTGCCGTGACCAGGATGGTCGTTGGTTGACTTGATGGTCAGTAAAAGTAATCAACTCAGTCACTTGATGGTCAGTACTTGATAGTCAGGACTTGATAGTCCGCACTTGATAGTCAGGACTTGATAGTCAGTAAAAGTAATCAACAAAATTACATTGGTGCCGTGACCAGGATGGTCGTTGGTTTGGTCACGATTGTACTTTGACTGGCAATAAA